ATTTTTAGAAAAAGCTGTGAAAAAATTGGTAAAAATTATACAAATACCAATTGTTAGACAAATCTGTGAAAAAATGTGGGGAAAATCATCAAAATACCGAATATCGGGAGGTACCGTTATATGGGAGCTGTACAAAAACGTAGACCTATGTAACAGTGTTTAGCCAACGGAGCTAAAACCTATTATGACCTACAGATACCAATTTTTAGAAAAATTGGTAAAAACATGTGGCGAAAATCATCCACATACCGTATATCTGGAGGTAGGGTTATATGGCGTCTATAACAAAACGTGGACCGATATATCGCATTTTCAGTGCCAATCATCGTAGACACAATACAAATTTTTCTGCCGAATTTTTAAGCTCTACGTCAAATAATGTGGGCTTTATCGTGATTTCAACAGACAGGCGGACATCGTTAAATCGAGTTAAAATTTTATGCTGATTATGAATATATTTACTTTAGGGGTCTACGACGAATATTTAGGGATGTTACAAATGGAATGACAATGTTAATTTACCCTTCTTTTTAAGGTGGAGGGCATAATAAAAGATAAAATGCCTGTAAATAAATTGTCACACTTCTTTAAATTTAAGAGCGTTATCCCAAATTTTTCTTTGGCAAGGGACGCATGTACGGATCATTATTAGCATCAAATTGATTTTGAAAATATTTACCTGAAGTATGTGACATATCAAGGCTTTGGGAAGTATTAAACATAAATATAGAAGGTATGACAAAATCTGAACCAAATGTTACGAACTTAATTCTAGCATTAATTCAACTGCGTTTGCAAAAATCTAAAAAATCGAATTGATTTATAAATGCCAGAAATATCCAAAACTGAAACATAATCAATGTCAATGTCAAAATTAAAGAATAAAAAATCTCTAGGATAGGAGCAGGTGATCCAATGATCCAATCGCATGTGCAAGTGAATAGTTATGGCACTAGTTACTGGGCCTTAGTTGCATACTGGGCAGTCATTCTTATCAATTCGCGAACAATTCGCCGTATGCGAAGGCTGTTGAAGACTTGCCAAATAGGCTTTTTAATCTAGAGGATTTCTCTCTAATATCGTTGAACCTCTCCGTCAAGGTCGTCCTGACACGCCTGGGGGATTTCTATCAACCATATAAAAGCTTGGATGACTCCCACGGTAACAACCAAGCAGGTATTGCAACGAACACATATAGGTCCTTATCCTCATCCCAACTTCTGTCAGCTAGCGCCTTGAGGACCTTGTTCCTACTTTTGAATTTATCGCCTCGACTGGGCCAGCCAAGGCTGTATATCTTTAAAAAAAATTCTGGAAATAAATCCTGGGTTGGTTAAAGACGTTAAAGGTAGCTTTAATGGACATGTCTTTATGTATGGCAATATTCAGGAGACCCTCAAGGTACTCAATTCAAATACCACAACATGCTACGTGACCTAAATACACTTTAATAGGTCCCCGGACACAGAAACATTATACGGAATGAGATAACTGGTTAACAAACTAGGAGTAGCTCACAGTCCCTGATCTAAGAGACTGTCAAACCGTCAATTAGTTAGACTGGTCAAAAGCTGTTGATAGGAGATCTGGCCAGCGATTTTGAGAAAACAACACGGCCACATATCCATACAATTGTACTGATCCATTGATAAAGTCAACTACAGTGTATATATTTCACAATAACAAGTTATATTTCTCCATTATGATTATATTATTTCGAGCATAGGAAAAAGGCAGAAAAAAATCATCATTATCAGTCAATAATTTGGTTTCGAATTTATTTAACCACATTTGTTTTTAATCTTATCATCTCATTTTCTCATTACCTAACAGTAAGCCAACCTTTGGATTTCACATTGCTACTACATTTTTGATATTCTAATGTCGATTGGAAAATAGATGTTATCTTTGTTAGAATTAACATCAAATTTACTGTGTTTTGGAAGAGGGAAAACTTCCGATCAAGAATATATATACTTTGCTGGGTCTAAAATTAGTATTTCGATGAGTTACAAACGGAATGACAAACTTAATAAACAAAAAACAAAATATTTTCAAAATCTATAATTGGAACAAACGTACATTGCGGGAAGCGCATTAAAGATATTAATAAGTTTCACCATGGAATTGAAAGACTGAAGAGTTTAGATCATATTTTTGAAATAAAATCCAGGCATTTCATTCATCTTTCGCACCATTTCACTTTGTTTATTGAATTTTTTAAATATTCATCAAGAACTCGACGACTCAACTATTCTGGACAAGAATCGTTGATTTTTGAAAACATTTTGAAGATTCCCTTGCCAAAGACCGTACAGTTGAAGCACTTCTTCTTTTACGAGGAACTTTTAAAAAAAAGTTCTTTATGTAGCCAGTAAAAACTCTTTATGTAGCTGAATCTTAAGACTTATAGCAAAAAAGACAAGACCTTGGTAGTTTATATTAGAATATTCAACTATATTAAGGACATACATTCTTCAGTACTTTATGGTTAACCGAATATAACAAAAAAATATACCAATAAATTCGAATATCTAAATAAAATTTTATATATATTTGTAAAAAAAAAATAAAAAAAAAGTACTTACCTTCATCCGACTCCTTTAAGTTCTTTAGAGCACCAACGCCGCCACCAGCACCAAGCAGACCATTTCGTAAACGTTTCAAGGGTGTGGTACAATCTTCGAAGCCGTGATCGACTTCAGCATTCAAAGAAGTATCAGTCAAATTCATTGATAACTCAGATATTGGAGAGAGAACCATATGAGCTTGGATCTCCTGAAAACGTGGCTCATGATGAAAGAGACGTTTTTGACGTAGCATTGTATTTAAATTCACTGGTGACTCAAAACACGAATCCGATGAACTGGTCGATGAGGTCATCATTGCCTTAAAACGTTTCGATTGGCCTTGATCCATGACTAAATCACTGGACGATGATGAGCTAGTGTCATCATCATCCAAATCAGAACATTCACGTTCAGAAAAACGTTTATTTGATTTCCAGGCAACATCTTTGCCTAGATGGGTGGTTGGGGTATTACTGGCCAAGGAAGCAGTTTCCATAGTTTATATTAGTTAAAATTCAATTTTTTTCACAACACTCGCGACGATACAAAGGACGACGTTTAAAACGGGCAAACAAATCACGGAGCACAGAAATTTCGGTAATTTACTTTCACAGGAAAAAGTTACGAAATATAAGTTAAATGGGACAAGCGATAATGGACCAGAACAATTTACACGAAATACAAAAAGGACGTTTTGGAAGTGGTATTCTGGAAAATATTCCCAATAGTCGTGACCTCTGCTTTAGACTAGGTTCAATCGGTCTCTGGATTTGAGTGATATATAATCTGTAAATGGCATATCATTTTTGTTCGAAATGTTTTCATTTTTTTCACAATCGAGATAAATATATTTAAGGTTATGTCTCTCGAGAATGCCAAGGAAGACTATTTTCTGTATTGATGCAAGTCCGCAATGGTCTGAAATAGCACAATATGAAATAAGAAATTAGAGCGGCAAAGCTAAAGACAAGTAAAGGCCAAAGAATTTAACTTTTGGCGCAATTTTTTTACAAAACGATTTTTTGCCCAAAAAAATCTTACCAAGATGAGAATGAATTCCAATCACAGTAGCTCCCTCTCGTTTAATTTAACCGTGACACACACTTAACACAGAACACCTATTGAGAGTTGATCACTATTTATTTAGGTACTTATTTAATCTATCTGTTGGTTTTTCTTAATAATTTAAATAATTTATTTAATATTTTACAAATTGACACAAAAACAAATATTGACTAGCAAAACAAAAATTATTCCGTTATTTCTCGTTTCTTCTGTACAGGGTTGTATTTTACTGAGAGTGAAGTAGAAAATGAAAACGAGTCGGCCTGAGGTGCGACCTTTTGAAAAGACGTGCAAAATAATACCATGTTCAAATGAAAATAGTTTTTAACAATAAGGCATTCTTTCGTTATTTAAGCGCACATGTGCAAATATTAGTAAGCAAATATAAGTTGTGTTCCAGTACTTTTTTAGTAGTAAAACTAGCAGAAGATAGAACAGTTCGAAATGTCATTCTCAATTAGGTGTGCTCAAAAAATAAGGGAACGGAAAATTAGCAGAAATGCGATAAAATGTCAAAATTCAAAATTCCAAGAGTAAACAGTCCAAATCGGACTAGTGAAACCTTACTGAAACGGACGCCAAAATTTAAAAAAATTAGTATTGAAGATGATACGTTAAAATTAATAATCTATAATAATAATTAATAATCTGATTCATCATTCAGCCAGTCCTCTTCACTACTGGAATCATCCAAAAGTGCTCCAAATTTTCTCTTTTTGTTTTTTTTTTTGCACTACAAATATTAATTTTTCCTTTAGTTGATCATTTCTTTATTTTTGTTATGACGCGGGAACATTGAAATGTATCAATATATTTTTCAACCTTGTTAGCCCTGCCAATTAAATGTCAAATTCACAATTTGCACATTTCTGCTCGGCCAAATTCACGCTTGGGAGCATTGATATGTCAAAAAAAATTAAATGTTTTTTCGAATATAAGTAGATTTTTATATGTTTTCTTGTACTACGTCATTCGGATTCTATTATAATTCGCGTTTTCAACAATTTTTACAAATGTAAATAACTTTTCATTCAACTTTTTCAATTCCAAAATTGGTTTGACAGTTCATTGTCCCAGCAGCTGTGTCGACGCGTCTACCTATATTCTTCTACCATGATGTAGCTAAAACAAGCAGAAATGTGCACCACTCAGCGCCATTTTTTTCTCGAGAGAGCTGCAAGTTGTAGCAGAATTAGTACTAATTAGTACTAATTTGTAGGTTCTGGAACACAACTATAGTATGTTCTACATTATATAATTATATGGCCATGTCATGGTGTAAATATTACTAGGCTAAAACACATCGAATTCAATTAAATCTTAAATATATAGACATTTGTTGCACTCTCTCTTCACACGTAAAAGTTTGTTGACAATACTTTATTTTGTTTCTGTTTCCTACTCTTTCAGATATGAGAGCATTTCTGTTGTCTTCCAAAGTGCACTAAATGACAACAACAAAAAAGATAGTTAAACGTCAAAAGCAGTACGAAAAATGCAATTTTATATATCATTAAATATGCATTTGTTTAAGAAAAAATTAAATAAATATTTAACAAATCAATATTTCTTTTGGTGGCTAGATTCTGCTGGAGAATTTTCTACTCCTAAATCACAAAGTGGATAAACACAGCTCTCATAGGTTGGTATCATGTACTTGATGTTTATGAAGGCATTCGGGCCACCACATTTCTCCAAGGCATTTAGTGTATCCTCAATAACATCCGCAATGCGTCGCTCACGATCCGGATCAATAAAGTTTCCTAAGTTCACATTTAAATTTTTATATAAATTACAAACGGCCAAAAGTTGACGATAGTAGGGCACCAAGGCCTGGCCAACGCAAGGGGCTGCAAGGAAAATGTGTAATAAAGTTGGAATTATGATAGAAAGGAGTTTACAACTTACCCACCAATACCATCATCTGTAGGACTTTCAGAGCGGCTATAATAATTTTCTTGTCCCTGGTGTTGAAGGCTCTTTTTAAGGGTAAAATCATTTTCGGTAATACCGGTAAAACCTTATGCGGAGCTTTCACAATCATATCCATTGCGCCGTATTGAGCAAGTTGGCGTATTTCAATGTCACTATCGGATAATCTATCAAAGAAGTATCTTATTAATTATAATATGGGCTTTTGTCAGTTGTTATCCTACCCATCCACAAATATTGGCAAATAATAACAATAATCCAAATCTTGCGGAGCACAAAACCATTTCAAGGGAAATTCAGTGGCATTTTTCTTGCGCAATACTTTGCCAGACCGGGCCACCGGTATATCACCACGTCTCAAATAGACTCTAAAAAATGTTTCCTTCACAGGTCGCTTTTTGAACAGATCTATTCTGGAATAAAATACTGATTATTAATATCAAATTAATTAGAAACGGAAAAGTGTCACGTCTTACTTTTTTGGAGGTTCCACAACCGTATTGCTTTGCAGAGCTTGATAGGTAAACGCCGGCACAATGCGTTTTGGCTATAAAATAAAAAAGTAATATATTGAGACTTTTGGTTTTATAAAATGCAATGATCAGTTTTACCTTTTTCATTCTCATGTATAATAGCTCCCGACATTGCTTTCCCGTCAGATGATGTACACTTTCCTTAACTTCAGGACACATATTCTTTTTGGCAAACAAATTACAATTTATTTTTCCAAATTCCAATTGATTTTCAAGAAATTACCTAAAATGAATGAACAGAAAATTAAGTTGGCAATTTGATATTTTAGATTTGTGAAGTTGTAATTTATGTATGTAGTGTTATAGAACTGCAGGAATGTAAAACAAACAAATTTCATTTTATGATATCGAAAAAAATATCAAGAACTATTAGATTCTTGCAGGTTCTGGAACAGAGCAATATATTCCACCGTAGAAGGTGTTCCGTTTGCAACATATTTGAATATTCTTCGTTGACCCCAAAAAGAATATAAGTTCATGACCCGCGTAAAATTCTATATCTATTAGCCATGACGCGAAGGCAAGTGATAAGGATGGGTTTTCGAAAATTCGTATTAAAAGGCTACGAAAAGCACTTAAATGTACTAAAAATTAAATATTTTTTATTAGATAAACGGAATAAGCTAGAATTCTGAAATTGGAGTGGAGTGCAGTATAGATGTTCCAAAGGCTGGAAATACATAAAGCGCATATTTGGCTAGATTAAGTCATCGGCTGTCTTCTTCGGAAATGAACAAAGGAGCCTAGGGCCAAAATCGAACTAAGTCAACCTAAACCTCCTTTGTTCATCTACGAAGAAGCCAGCCGATGACTTAAGCCAGCCAAATATGCTCTTTATGTATTTCCAGCCTTACTTCCTTATTGTTGCATGATTATAAAAACATCCATGCAATTTGTTTCTATAAATAATTTAACTTTTTTTAAAAACAATTCTCATTTAACTTTGGCCTCAAGTCAATTTAAAATTTTAATTTTAAAGTTCGACATAAGTATCTCACATTACATGAAAGTCATCAAAACTTTGTCCCATCATCATTATCTCCTGCAAACACTACTCCCACACCATCAACAGCAACTACAACTCCCTCTCACAGAGCAATTATGCGATGTGCTGCTTTATTTGATCAAGATTCTTGGAGCAATAATTTCTGGTCACATATTGTCGACATTTTGTTGTCAGATGTAATTAGGAGACATCATCAACGTCATGCAATGATGCACTGCTGCTCTCAGTTTCCCACAATGGCAATAGCCCCCTGCCAAAAAAAACCGAGTTTCATTAAAAGTTCCACTACCACTTCTCGATGACACGTCACGGCGCAATGTGAAGCACTTTATCTTTGGAATAGTTGACGTTGTTGTTGTGGGAAAGTGTATATGAAGTTTTTGTGTGTGTTCGGTGTATGCGTATGTAGAAAATTATCATTACACCAAGGTTAATGATAATTAATGTTGACTGTGATAAGGTTGTGGGAGGACTATTTTGGTGTTTGCCCAGGAGGATATGTTGTTATGATACATGTTGGTAGGTATATGTTGTTTTTTTCGGCAATGTTGTTGAGTCACAACAATAACCAGTTTGAAGGTGTCGCATGGCAAGCCGTTCTTTTAAGTTTGTCTTTTCGATGGGACACTGTTGCTAAAAAAAATAATAATAAATGATACTAAAAAATAAAAACATAAGAAATACCTGATAACCAGATACAATCCATTGAATCGTTTGCTAAATCATTCTGGAGCCAGATTCTCATATTCGATATCTAAAAAAATCCGATCGCAATGATTGCAAATAAATCTTTCCCACTGGAAACTGTGTAACTTACCCAACTACACCGTGACTCTAACATTTGTCATTATGCATTATGTGCGGTGTCATTGCATAAGGGCCAGTTATAATGGCCACGCTGGAAGGATGGCGTTGATGTGCCAGCCATGGACGAAGGATGTAGAAGTTGGCGGCTGGTGTCATTAATATTTATGAAGTTTGAAGTTAGCAATTCCAAAACAATATTAGGCCGAGTACTAGACAAACAATGTCTAGTGATGGCATCGCTGTCATGATGTATTTATTATCGAGTGGGTGGGTGTCACTTCGCTGTATACAGATCCTTTAGCAAATAGTTCAGGCGATGTGCGGAATTTCTACTTTATGAATACGAAATTTTTATTGCTCATATCAAATGTTGTCATGGAATTGCAACAGAAATTACTAGGGTTTTTATAATCCAAGAATGAGATAGAGTGAGAGCTTGGCGGGAGGAGAGAACCCATGTATGATAAATATTGTAGTAGATTATAGTTGATAACTCACGCAGCCACACACATGACATTGGCAATTAATACGCATAATTTGTTCACATTCATTTTCTTTATTCGCCAAAGCTAGCAAACCATAATATCCAGCAAAAACTTTTATTGTCCTTTCTACCACGGCACACACACATACATACGCATGTGTATATTCCTTAGTTGCATGTGTCACTATCACGTTTAGAGTTAGCTACTGCTTTCTTCTTCAAAGTTTCAAATGAATTTTGTCGGATTTGTGTTGCCACTACCACTGGCCATGACTTGACTTGTTTGTTTTGTTAGTCTTTCTCAATTTTTTTATTTTTCCCAATTTCCACATAAATCACAAGTGGCTGGGAAAAGACAGGACAGTGTTGGCGACTGTGAATGTGAGCGTAAGAAGCAATTGCCGAGAAAAGCAACGCATCCATTTGATGATGCATGTGCGAAAGTGCAGGTCACAAATAAAACTAACCGGTGAAGTAGCAGGATGGCAAGATTTCTTTGGGACAGTGAAAAGGTAAGAAATGTTTTTTCTTTTAAATGTTTATAAAAACAAGTGGGGAAGCTTTTAAGTTCGGTCAAGACGATATTTCAATGTCTTTACTATTTGGGAAATTAAAATTGTTCTCTTCTCTTATTAGGAAGTTGATATATAAAAATTAAAAAAGCGCTGAAGAATGGTCTACAATTGTCAAATATAAATATTGGGAGGGTCCATTATATAACAGCTATATGAAATCCTGAGACCCTAAATATTATGTTTTCATTTTGAAAATTGATCTTATATACCGAATATTAGGAGGTATGTTATATGGGGTACATACCACAATTTTGATCTATATATTACAGTTCTTAGGAAGGATGTTGTCGTTATGAAAGTAGATATAAGACAAGTAAAATAGTATCAGTCCGTTTTGCCTACAGGCGCATAAACCCAGCCTTGACTTATGATTATTGAAACTTTTAACTTTTTATGGGTGAGGTACCGAAGCTGTTGGCCAATATAGACCAATTCGTATCTGTCCTGAGAGTTACATAAATATTACAACGTGACAGATTTGGACTATATCGACTACTTCTCGTACTTTATATGAGATATGTGCAAATTTTTGAAAAATGTGGAAACATGCGTGCGGTAACAGATACAGCGGACCGAAATATTCCGTTTTCATACTTCATCTTATACAGCTAAAAATATTAGTAGGTGCAAAATTAGAAGGAAATCGAACATTCATATCCAATTTTATGCGAAATCATAAATTCCGATAAGTCAGATTTGTTTCGTAAGTTATGACAGATATATGTATTGGAAATAATGACCCTTTGTGGGTGAGGTATCAGAAGGGGTTGGTAAATGTATACCATCTTGTGTTAGAAAAAATGTTTGTGTGTGGGAAATTTGAGGAGATGGATGGATTTGGATGCTTATTTCTTTTTATACCCTCCACCATAGTACGGAGGGTATATAAGGTTTGTCATTCCGTTTGTAGCACTTCGAAATACACATTTTAGACCCCACAAAATACATATAATCTTGATCAGCATAAAATTCTATGTCGATTTAGCGATGTCCGTCCGTCTATCCGTCTATCCACCTGTCCGTCTGTCCGTCTGTGGAAATCACTCTAGCTTCCGAACGAATTTAAGTAGATTGATAAAATTTTGCTCAAATGTATGTTATGTCTGCAGGACTTTTGGTATTGAAAATGGGCCACGTAGGTCCACGTTTTGGTATAGCATATAACGGTACCTCCCGATATTCGGTATTTTGATGATTTTTTTTTTCACCGGAATAGTTTAAAATTTGGTATTTGAAGTTCGTAATGGATACTACAGCTTAAGACAGAAAATTGTCTGTGCAGGTCCACATCTTCATATAATCCCCATACAACGGTACCTCCCGATATTCGGTATTTTGATGATTTTAGCGAATTTGTTCACCGGAATTGTTTCAAATTTGGTATTTGAGTTTGATATAGGATACTACAGACTAAGATAGAAAATTGTCTGTGCAGGTCCATGTCTTCGTAGAGCCCCATATAACGGTACCTCCCGATATTCGGTATTTTAATGATTTTATGGACATTTTTCACCAGAATTGTTTCAAATTTGGTATTTGAAGTTCGTAAAGGATACTACAGCCTTAACGTATAGTCCCCAAATAACGGTTCCTCCCGATATTCGGTATTTTAATCATTTTAGCGAATTTTTTCACCGGAATTGTTTCAAATTTGGGATTTAAAGTTCGTAATGGATACTACAGCCTAAGACATAAAATTGTCTGTGCAGGTCCACCTCTTCGTAAAGCCCCCATATAACGGTACCTCCCGATATTCGGTGTTTTAATGATTTTATGGACATTTTTCACCAGAATTGTTTCAAATTTGGTATTTGAAGTTCGTAATGGATACTACAGCCTTAACAGAAAATTGCCTGTGCAGGGCCACCTCTTCGTAAAGCCCCCATATAACGGTACCTCCCGATATTTGGTATTTTAATGATTTTGGGGACATTTTTTTTATTGTTTTTAAGAATTGCCAAATTCGCTCCAAATGGTAGAGGGTATTCAAAGTTCGACCCGGCCGAATTTACAGCTTTTTTACTTGTTCTTAGAGCGTTTTGTGTTTCAAAATGAATTCTATATTTTTAACAGATCTCGTGTTGTTGGAAATATTGAGGTGTATCAAGTCTGGAATGGTACGGGATTTTAATTTCGCGTTTTATGAGCTTTGTGTATATTTAAAATGTTGAACCTTTTGTGGGGGAGGTATCAGAAGGAGTGGACCGATATATTCCATATTCATACCTTGGATTAATAAAATTATTGTGATATGTGTAATTTGAAGAGAACCGGAAGCTTATTTCGAATTTTATGATTTTTTTGGTTATTCAAAATTGAAACTCTTTGTGGCGGAGGTACCAGAAGAAATGGTTTGATACATTCCATCTTCGCATCAGATCTAGTGTTGGTAGAAATTATGTGATTTGTGAAATATAAAGAGAACTGAATGCTTATTTCGGATTTTACAACTGATTTGGATTTTCAAAACTTTGACTTTTGTGAGGGAGGTACCAGAAGAAATGGTCCGATCTCTACCATCTTAATAACAGATCTTGAGTTGATAGAAATATTGAGTCTGAATGGAATCGGATATTAATTTGCCATTTTATGAGCTTCATGGATATCAAAAATGTTGACCTTTTATATAGGAGGTACCAGAAGGAGTGAAACGATATGTCTCATCTTCACACCAGACCTTGGGTTGATAAAAATATTGTGATGTGTGTAATTTGAAGGCAATCGAACTCATACATCACATTTTATAAGAGTTATTATTCAAAATGTTGACCCTTTGTGGGGGAGGTACTCGATGGAGTGGACCGATATTGTACATTCTCTCACCTGGCCTAGCGCTGATGAAAATATTAGGATTTACAAGGTTGGAGCAAATTTGGATTATCTTTTCTCTTTCTGTGCAGTAAAATGTTTTTTTTTTTTTTGGAAAATGTTGAAATTTTTTGGGGGTGTTACCAGAAGGAATGGACCAATATTGTCCATCTCCGAACTTGATCTAAATTTGTTAATAATATTACGATGTACCAAGTTTGGACCAAATCGGATACTCCATTCGAGAGTACGGACATCGCTAGATCGTCTACAAATGTCTTGAAACTGATTTTGTCCAAAGAAACCATTATTTCGATGAGGCTCGTTTTGACCGTATCAAACAAAAAATAATTTTGTCGCACTGTGTAATGCAAAACAAGAGGATTTCTGTACCTCACCCACTGTTCTATAAATAGAATGGTCTATCCATAGCTGATGCAACTGTGTGTGTGTCATGCCAGTTTCCACCATACACTTCAAACGATTCCAGCCAGCAAAGTGCGAGTGTGTGTGGTTTTAATGCCAAAACGTAATTGAGTGATTTGGCAACAATTTGTTGTATTTTTTAACTACAGTTGCCATTGCTATTGTCGCTGTTGTTGCTGCTGCTCGCTCCTACTGTTAAGTTACGTTTTCCACTGTCGTTTATGTTTGGTGTTATCCCCCAGTTCTTATAAATGTCTGAACTTGCACTTACGCTTACGCACAGCCATACATTTCGGGATAAAGCCAAACAAAACTGAGTGACATAGACAGATATCTTTCGAAAAAAAGAAACAAATACATAGAGAGAAAACAGAAATATTGCGATTTTTTTGCCACGCCAGGACATAATTTTTATCATCAAGATTGGCGCTGGTTTTAAACGCAACGCAACCAGTCTTTTATTCTAGGGAAACTGGTGGTCTTGTCGCAATATCAAAAAAAAAAAAAAAAAATGGTTGACGAACAATGTTATGTTTGAAAGTCGAGTTGCGAATACACCCAGTGACAGTTGTGCCAAAAACACATTGATTGCAGCCACTTTTATGGGGTGTCTTATGTCATTTTTTTAGATGGTTGAGGACAAAATGGAAAACCTCGGCTTTTAAGTTTACACAGTTAGTTGAGAGGTAAAAATAAGTGCAACGGCGAAACTATTTGTTGCCCTTAAAATGATTGATGTCAATAGAGAATTTTGCCAATTACGATATGTTTGTTTGTACATTAATATCGAGTAGATAAAAATGCTTCTAACAACATTTATGGATAGGGAAGCAGGAGTAGACAACGCGAATCTTGAAATTATTTTCAATTTGTATGTAATTATTAACTACTCTGACATATTGAGACAATGAAAGACTAATGTCATGTTTACGTTAGAACTTTTTGTAGGGTTAACCTACTTTGAGGGGATTTATTTGAAGTAAAAGTAATGGATATGACAATTTAAATCCAAATCCAGTGGGTTAACCCTCATATATATAAACGTACTGATATTATTCCGAAATTTGAAATATTGTGTCAATCAACAGAGATAACCCGAAGGATGAATATTTTCTGCACAGCTTTTTTAAAAATAATCTTCGGAACGTATAAAGAGTCAATTAACGCCGTAGAGATAGGCCTTGGAAAACGATCCAGAGCCCAACTCAACAAATCGTCAGGATGTGTACATTTATTGGATGTAGTAAATAAAATATAAAGTACCTTAGAAATTCCCAGAGAACTAAAACCAAGATTTTGATAGAAACTAATTCCGTATTGAGTCTGTACATCCAAAGAAGCTAACGGAATCAGTCCTCCACTAGTATACCTTGAGCTGAAACGTATAGCAAAATCTCCCACTCAGATGGGGTATTCTGGACAATATTTAAATTTGTAGACTCTGGTGTGTGTTCAAATTTCGAAATTGATATTAA